AATAAAATAAAATAAAAAAATAAATAAATAAAAATAAAAGTCATCGAAAAAAAAAAAAATAATCAGCCTAAAATAATCCTCATAATAAAGAGACACACTTTGGGGGACAAATTTTGTTCCCCTTCAGGACACTCTGTGATGTTCACACAAGGATGAAAGTACCTAATGATGCATTTCTCAGAAGGCATCCCTGTCATTAAGCTGTGCATGACTGTATACGTACATATATATCAGAAATATATATTATTATTATTGTTGATATATATTGTTTGAGACATACCTTTTCATTCGCTTCAATGTTCATCCACGTGTTTGAATTTTATCCACTTATTTTTTAGATCAGGGCGTGAGGAAGGGACTTCAAAGTGCACACAGCGAAAGCCGCAGCCCTGCAGGCACGGCTCGGCGCCTGGATGGAGACTCACCTGCCAGGAGGGCATGGATGTTCAGGCCCCGGTCCTGGTCGGCGGGGCTGCACACGTCCATCATGTAGGCGTGGCTGGGGTTGTCTGCCGAGTCGGCACTGAAGTCCATCAGCACCACCCCGCACACGGTGAGGAGGATGCCCCACTTGTGGTTGTTGGCTGTGTCGGCCAGCGCAGCGCCGATGTCCCTGCCGTTGAGCAAGAGCGAGAGGCCCAGCAACGCCCCTGGGGACAGAGAAACAGAGTCACCCAGAGGAAACACAGACCAGCTCTGCCCCCGGCAGCCCACAACCTAGGTCTAGAATCTTTAGGGCCCCAAGAATTCCTTTTTAATCAAACTTCAAGCAGAGCCCATTGGAAAGGTCACCTGCAGACTCACCATATTATTATTATTATTTTTTGTGATTGATCAGGGTTTTTATTTCATCAAGCAGAGCAGGAATGACATAAACTTTATTGACTCGTTTCTAAGAAAGGATCCACGTGATATAGCCTCACGGTTAACTCAGGCGGGGTGTGGGCTCCTCCCTCCACCACACCAGTGACATTATCTGTGTAATCGCTTTGGTCAACACTTAGACTTTCCTAAGAGGAAGCAGTTGGGGCCTTTTTTCTTTTTTCCACTTTATTTCAATTCCAGAACGACAGACCTATAGCCAGGACAAGAATGAAAGGGCGTCTCCTTCCAAACCTTGAGGTACATCGGTCACTCCAGGCACCGAGCAGTGGCTGCAGTAGGAATCCTGAAACAGAGCAGGCCAGCGGTCATGGCAGGGGCCCCACAGCACATGGGGCCGAACCTTGAAACAGCCTCATCACGTCCCTGAATCACTTGCCCTCAAACGCCCCCAGGGCATCACAGCATAAGGTGATGAAACTCAGAGGCAACAAGGAAACCCCAAGCTAGAAAACAAAGGATAAACAGACTCTTGGAGTCACTCAGCTCCTCCTTAAATTTCCTACGTAGGCCCCTGTAAGACCCCAAGCAGCCATGACCTTCCTCGGGAATCCAAGACATTCCAGGACCTCCCACCCCAAACCGCATCAAGCTTTATTGCTTGGATCCTCCACTGAGAGCTCGGCACAAGATGGTGGTAACCCTCGGGGTCTGCTAAATTCCTGTTCTGTAGTCCGGCTTAGATAAAGTCACTTAAAATATGGAGTATGTCCGGCCATACCAGTGTTGTCCTACAGCGCCATGCTAATGAGTGGAACTTAACTCTTGCTCCTCCCTTGTCCCCTGGGGACCCTCAAGCTGCTTCAACCGAGGCTTCCAGAGGTTTCCAGAGGCCATCCACCACAGGGCCTGAGCTGGGGCTCACCGAGGATGGGGCTGATGAACCACACCAGACTGTAGAGCTGGTCAGGCAGGCCCATCTGGAGGAGCACAGGGGTCACGTACGCCGTCTCCATGGCGTAGCTGAACTCGATGCCAAAGAGAATGCAGCCGTTGAAAAGCAGCTCCCGGAAGGACCTCTGGGGGTGCAGGTCCCCAAAGTCCACCAGGTCGATAGGACATGGGGTGTTGGGGGGCGGGGGTGGGGAGGGGCGAATGCACTTCCTCCTCTTGGGGTGTCGTTTGAAGTTGTTGGCCCGGTGGCTGATGTGCCGGGTCACTGGCCCTGAGTAGCTCGAGACCTGAGACCTCCACAAGTCCTGAGGAGCCAAACCGGGGAAGAGGGCCTCTCCAGGAGGGGTGCTGCTCGCCGGGGGGATCATCGTAGGGGGGGCGGGTGGGTGTTCCTGTGGGGAAAGCCCATTAGAGCCCCAGTTACTCACCGGGGGGCCGCCACCAAGAGAGGTCATTTTTCCAGGTGGCTTCCCCCTCCCCTGATGGGCACCCGCTCACTCTTTTCACGTGGGGAAAGTTGAGTGCATGTTGGGGAACTCTTAGAGTCAGACACCATGCCCCGAAAGTTGAGCCTATTCTTTGTGGGTGATGTTACCAGGCCTCATTCTCGTGTCAGTGCAGCCCATCTGCCCAGGAGACCAAAGCCAGATGCTCTCTCTCTGCTTGGAGAGAGGACCCCCAGTCCTTCCGGTCCCCACACTAAAACTCAAAGTGACTGTTCCCCAAACAGGTTCCATCAGGAGGGCTGGGCAAAGACCCTCCTGGGAAGTGGAACAGCCAAGAGCTCTATGGCGGCTCTTAGCCCAGAGGACACCAGGCTGTAGGACCTGTGGCCCATTTCCAGGGCTAGTTTTGCCCTTTCCCTGCAGGTCCCAGGGGAGCAGACAGGAGGGGAGACCAGTATGGGACAGGACCCACTGACAGGTAGTGCCCGTGCACAGTTAGGGGACAGCCCGTCCTTCACAGGACGGACAGTCACAGCGGTCACCTGGCCTAATACTATGTTCCCTCCTCATGGTAGGCCGGGGGGGTGGAAATCCTTGTCTGAAAGCAGCTGAATGAGTTTAACTCAAGTCCTTTCCTTTCAGCTTCAACTGGATGAGTGACTTTTCAGTCAATTCAGGAGAACTGAGACTTTTATAGTGTTTGAAAATGCTCTCTTTAAAGAAATAAACCAAACTCCCTGAATCCTGCATGTCACAGATGTCACACTGAATAGGGAAACAGTTTACCAAAAAAAAAAAAAGAGAGAGAGGGACAAAAAGAACCAGGGAGAGGTGAGAAATAAATTTTCCCCCATCTTCAAATTATTTTTTGGAGCAATTCTCACAATGCCTACACCTTGAGTAGGGAATTAGCAGGCGTGCAGGCCTTCACAGACACTCCCCACCTCTGTCTCTCTCCCCACCACTCCCCACCTTCACAGACACTCCACACTTTTGTCCCCCCACCCTGGGGTTTGCGATCTGCACCCCTCAGTGACCTGTTCCTGGGCGTCCAACTGTTTCTCACTGCTTTGAAATTAACCTAGATTGTAAATATTAAGTGAATGGATTCTAGTATGTTGTCCTGTGTGTGTTAGCCAATGTCAATTTCACTAAGCACAGGGAGAGGAAAGCTACTAAGGTCAGAGGGAAAGAGGCAGATAAAAACGTAAGAGAGGAGGTTCTAGGGCTCGGTTTGGCCTCTCTGACAGCTCCGGATCTGCCTCACAAAATAGCAACTGCCTAAATTTCCTTTGAAGTCCTTCCTGAGAAGTAGGCCCCAACCCAGAGACAACGTTTCCAACATTGATAGATTTCCTGACAAGGATACTTGTTATTTACCAAGATAAACATGATAGGCTGTCTTTCAAAATTCGTTTTAAGCTTTAGAAATGAGGCCCTTATTTCTGACATTAACTTACCATACCACCTTCTATCACGCTATTGCTGGTTGATAACGTCTTTATGAATGACTCGGAAATCCCTCATCACTCCAGATTTGTATCCCAAACTCGCCCACTACCCTACACATTCAGGAATTGTCTTCCTTCTCATCAGAAGACACCAGTGGTGGAAATCATTTGATCTATAGATGCCCCAGCAGGATTCAAAACACTGTGTTAGTCCAGCAACCCGTCCATCCATCTACCCATCCACCCATACTCCCACCTACCCATCCACCCACATATCCAGCCACCCATCCTCTAATCTACCCATCTATCCATCCACCCTTCCAAACATCCATCCATCCATCCATCCATCCATCCATCCATCCATCCATCCATTCCTCACTCAGTTATCTACCCATTCACCCTTCCACCCATCCATTTACCCACCTACTCACCCATCCTCCCATTCAGCTGAGTACTGAGTACCAAGACACCGAGGTCATAGAGATAAAAGAAAGAAATAATTCTCGCCCTTGGGTTGGGTGAAAAAGTAAAGGAAAGGCATTCAAAACAGTGGGAACCACCTGTGTAAAGGAGATATGTGCAACAGTCAGGCACAATGGCAGCGTGGTGAGAGATGAAGCCAACAGGAAGGGATTAGCTGATCAGGAAGGGCCTTGAAGGCTTGCTAAGAGATGAATTTCATACCGAGGTGACAGGCATGGACATAACCAGAGCCTCAGTCTGCTCTCACTTCTATAAATGGCTTATCTTGTGACCTTAGAAAAATCCCGTGCTCTCCTCTAAAACAAGAACAGACGTACTTAAGAACTATGTAGGCAAGTAATGCTTCATAAAAATGTAAATTATTTATTAAGAGTAAATCAAGATTAAAATTTATAAAAAGCTAAGCTCCTCATTTATGTTCCTCGCTGGTCTAGCTCAGGCCCTTCTACACACTAAATACTCCAGAAAACTCTGTGCATTGGCTGATCTTGCCCCTTCAAAAACCCAGGTGGCTGTTAGCATTCCCTGGAGCTTCATTCATTAAGAGGACAGAAATAGAGTGCCAGTTGGAACACCACATAATAAGATTGTTTCCTTAAAAGTCAGAAGGAAGACCTTCAGCACAGGTGTGCTGGAGAGCTCGACCTGACTACCTGCCCACTCGAAGCCCCACCTCCACTGCAGCGGCCAACTTCCTCTGTGCCTCCACCCGCCCCTCCATCGCCCCTTCAGGCACACAGCAACTCAGCCTCTCTTTCCTACCGGCATTTTACTCCCATGAAGTGAACTTGAGTGCATGTGCATTAGAAACCTTCCCTTTAATTTTGGAACGAAGAACCGTGGGCCCACTGAGGAAGAATTTCAGATTGAAACACCATATGGTGGAAGCATATTTTTGAAAAGGGGAATGTTTTTGACCCTATTTAAAATGGCCTATGTAGACAGCCAATGACTCTATCTGTGATGTGACGATTTCAACATCACCTGCCTGCCCCCACCCCCCAGCTTTAAAACACAGCTTGCAGCCTGTTCTAGGAAAACTGAGACCCTCACACCCCCATCTCACCCCTCCAGAATCTAAACCTGAGCTTGAAAAAAGTCTTCACTAAGGGTCACCTTCAAATCTGCGGATCAGTATTACCATTTCTATTTTAAAAATACATTTATTAAAAGCTGTCCATGAAAAATTATTCTATGAAGAATGTTTAAAATCCATTTTAAATGTTACAAAAAACGAAAGTAAAATTTAAAATAATGAAAGAGAATTTTAATACACTCATACAAACATTCACCAGATCATCTTTATCACACTATATGACGATTTATTCAGTCAGAAGAAAATGCACATATCCCTGGACCCCCAAAGGTTATACGCCGGGCCCACTGTGCTTTTGAAAAGAGGGGATGTTTCAAGTAACGAATCCCTCAAACTGTGTTATGGGAAGATTAAGCGGCAAATGATTAATAAAAATAAACAATGTCCGTGTAACTTGAATGCTTAAAATTATCTTACTATGAGCCAAAATCACTTCCTCATTTCTTTCTCCTCTTCTTTATATGAAACCAGGCTTCCCACCACGGGGTCACGCATGGCCAATCCCTCCTCCACTCCTCCTTCTACCAATTCTCAGAGTTAATACTTCAAGGAAATCTTCCCTGACCAGTAAAGGGCTCTGTGGATGTGAGGGGATGTATTCAATAAGCTAGTTACTAAATTGTGGCCCATTTCTCACTTTTGATCCCGGAAATTTGGCCCCTACCTGACGGGCAATTGATCCCGAAAGCCCTGGTCAGGCGCACACTGAACTTGGGTTTCCTCAGCACCCGACTCTACTCCCCTATAAAAGCTGAAAAACGTCAACATTATGGTAATCCCGGAAATAATGTGAAAAGTTGTCCAGGACAGAATGAACTGAATCGCTTATAAGCCTCTTATTTCAACCTCAGCATGTTCCCCTTGGCTGGTGACTCAAGAAAGCAGAAATCCTGGCATGTGAGAGAGCTGACACCATGAGCCCTGGCCACCAAGAGCGTTCAGCCTCAGGCGAGAGGTGAACCGGAAGCTGATGACACCTGCCCAGGTGACCGGAGAACAGGCCTCCGGCACCAATAAGCACAGCGTAAGCCCGGGGCGAATTCCAGCGTTCAATCTCCTTCCCAGCCAGGGTGAAATACATCTGTCACCCAACTGCTACCCTCCTTTGGGCCGGAGGGTTCCGCACTCAGGGGGCGAGACGGGGGCTCCCTTTGCAGTTCAACGAATTAGACATCCAAGAAGAACAAAGGTCTCCGTGCCAACCTCCGGCCCCGATCTTGGCACTCTGATCACCCCGGGGCCTAAGCCGCGTCGCTCCCGGCACAAAGCCGGGAGGCTGTGCGGAGGGCGCAGGAGGAAAGGATGGTACCTGTGGTTCGAGCCGGGAGGCATCCCTTTCCGAGGCCGGGCTCCTGCCCGCCCCGCGCGCAGCTCGGGTCCCGGCCCGGCCGCCCCCGGCCCGCCGCTGCTGCTGCAGCATCACCCTGGGGGCGGGGCCGTGACGTCACGGCCGCAGCCTCGCCGCCCGCGCCCGGTACCCGCAGAGCATCCTTAAAGCGGCCCCGCCGGCCGCGCGTCCTGCCGACCTCTGAAGGCCCGCAGGGTCTGCAACGAAAGCCCCGGAAACAGGCCCACTATGACTTCCCTGGGCCCCAGCACTCTTGCCGGGTGGGCTCCTTTCTCCACAAAAAATATTAAAATTTTATTTTACCGCAGTGTTGGTCTAAAGATGAATATATTTGTACTGTATTTTAAAACATTTTCTTGGCCTAAGAGTTCTCATTTTTTTCTCCTGATTTTAAAAGAAATGAGCCCTGTTTTCGTGGATTCCTAAAGCGTTGTGTGCTCTGGGCACCGTGTCCACTTTACAGAACAGATAAGTTGGCCCTGCTTAGAACTACTATACTGCAGTCACGTATTCACTTAACAGATGTATTGCGGGCCCGCGGGGTCCCAGGCGCTCTTCTAGGGACTGGGGATGGGGCGGTGAACAAAACAGATGGAGGTTCCTGCCCCTGTGGCATGACACTGTAGAGAAGGAGAGACACGTGGAACAAGACACATAACATAAAGGAACGGTATGCTGGAGACTGTAACTCCCCAGAGAAGGGGCTTAGGGAGGGATGTGGGGCTGGAGGAGGGGCTACTGTTGCAGTTTTAAATAGGGCTGTTGATTGGGTCTTCACTCAGAAAGAGACATTTGAAGAAAAACTTAGAGGAGGTGAGGGGACCAACCATGCAGATATCTGGGGGAAAGTCATGCTGGGCAGAGGGAGGAGCAAGTGCAAAGGCCCTGGGGTAGAAGTGAGGTGGGCTGAATGAGATAATGATCAAGCAAATAATTAGACAGCCTGTAATAAAATTACAGTGCAGAAAGTGCTCCTGAGGCGAGGCATGTGGCTCTATGAAAGTTTATAACAGGGGCATGTGGCCTCGTTGGGAGAGTCAGGTGTTCCCTGAGAAAGTGACACTTGAGATGCCCACTACAGCTGAGAAGGCAGGGCAGCGTGTTGCAGGGAGGGGGTGAGCATGTGCAGAGGTCTTGCGACAGGAGAGGGCATGGTGAGCACAGAGCTGAAGGAAGGTCAGTGGGGCTGGAATGCAGGGGCCCAGGGTGAGTGGCGGGTGGGCTGGAGAGGCAGACTGGGCCTGGTCTGTGGGCCTCGTGGGCTGCTGTCATTTTGTAAGAACAAGGAGAAGCTTAGACGGGCCCTATGCAGGGGAGTGGGTGACATAAATCATATTCCTATTTTGCAAAGATCATATAGCTCAGGGTGGAAAATGGGTTGGAGGGGATCAGAGGACCAGGTGGGTGCAGCAGTCAGGAGCTGACAGAACCTCCCAGCAGGGAGAGGATGGGGGTGGCGGTAGAGGGACAGAGGTGGTGGATTGGCTGGGCATTTAGGAGGTAAAACCTACAGGACGCGGTGATAGGTCGAAGGCAGGGAGTGTGGGAAAGAAGTGCCAAGAAGTTTCCAGCTTGAGCGCCCGGATGAAGAAAGGCAGACTCACAAGAGGAGAGCAGTTGGCTGGGAGGGTGGAGGCACAGGTAAGCTTGGGACAAGATGAGTCTGAGGGGCTTTGAGACATCCAGGTCATTAGAGACACGGGTCTGGAGTTCAGAGACGGTCGTTTGCGAGTCACCTGCACACGGGAGCTAACTGAAGCCAAACTGTGGACCATGACACCAACAGGGAGAGATGTCGAGAGGGTCCCAGACAAAGACTTCAGGAGTCTCAGCTGTTACTGGCCATCAGGGAACTGGTTCTATCTTATCTTTTCTCTAAACAGAAGTAATAGTTTGAAAAAATACCAATGTGTTCTTCTGTTTTGCATTTACACACAAATGACCTGCTATTAAGTTAGTGGAAAGCTCACAGCTGTGACTGATAAACCTCAGCATCTCAGGGGCTTACCACAACAGATGCTTCTTGTTGGCTCCTGTGAAGTGCACAGGGTGTTCCTGTTGGGCGGGGGCCTCCATGCAGTCATTCAGGGACCCAGGCTCCTGCCATCTTGGCTCTGCCCCAGCCAGGCTTGCCAGAGGCCCCCATTCCACCCACACTCCATTGTCTGGGACTCAGTGACACAGCCACACCCAAGCTCAAGGGAGGCTGGGATGTATGGCCCCTGCCCAGGCCGAGGAGGAAGTGGGTGTGGGGAGCCAGATGCTTCCTTAGCTTTTATCTGCTTGGAGGAGTCTTCATAAATAAGGGACGAATAAATTCAAAATAGGATTTTGCAACAAGAGAAAAGGCTTGAAATCTACGCATTGTTGAGGAAGAAAGGACTTGAAAAATATTCCTTTGACTTTTTTAACCTTCCAAAGTTCAAACCTTCCAAGATTAGAACGCTCTTTCCTTCACCCTCCAGGGCCAGACCAGACCATGGCGTTTTTCCCCTTGTGTGGACAAGGTTCCCCTGTCTTGTCAGTAGGTCTGGGCAGGACACCAGAGTGGAAGGAGAGCGGCAGAACGTGGAGGAAACACAAGAGAATCACCGCCCAGGTCCCTGGGCGCTGTGGGAGGAAGGTGGCACCAGGAGGGAGGTGGCTGGCCGAGCTGACGGGGAGCCGTGTAGAGGGACCCCGGCGGGCTGAGGCTCGGCCCTGCGCCGACCAGGAGGAGTTTGTTCTGGGCAGAGCTGCCACGCACCAACTTGGAGGGCTGGTGGCGGTGGTGAGGGGGGGACACGCGGACTGATGGGCACGGGACAGAGCAGGGTGGTCGGTCTAGTTGCCCTACTCAGAGCTGACAGCTGCAGTGACCCCACGGAGGGGATTACCTGAGGGGCTCAACCCTCAGCATCCGTGTGGAGGGGCAGTCAGGCCAGGAGGAGGGTGGAGACCAGCAGAGAGCCCCAGAGGGGTCTACAGGGCCAGACAGGGCCCCCACCAGCTTCACAGCAGAGCCGGGAAATCAGAGGCCCCTGCAGGGCACACGAGGGACCAGCATGTGACCAGGAGCCCCTGCCCACAATACCAGGAGGACATGTGAGCCCCGCCCACTCCCCCAGCTGCATCCTGGAGAGGATTAGAAGGACAAAGCCCCGAAAGGCTCTTATGATCCTAAAGGGACCAAGTCGGACCCAAAGAGACTGTTTAAATGATCCGATTGGACTCAATTTTATATCAATTTGACCACAATTAGTGCCTCCCGGACACCCTCCAAGCCAGGCAGTAGCTGAGAAAGCTCTGATCAGTGACAGATAAATAAGTGAGTGCCAGCTTCTTAGCACTCCTGAGTGTGCTGTGAACAGCGGAGCGAGCGTGCCGGGCTCAAACAGCAGAGAGCACCGCGTGGGAGCCGACCTCAGGCGGGCGCGAGGCCCGGCGGCTCCCTGCCGTCCCGGCGTGTCCACAAGGTGGTGGAAGACCTCCACCTTTCCCGGCCTGGGCAGCCAGCGAGCGCAGGGAGAGCCAGCTGGGGGAGCTGCCGGCACAAATCTAGTATTTCTCCACACAAAAGCAAGACGAGATGGTTCTTTTCAAGACTTCTCTGACCTTGCAAGGATTCGTGGTTCTAAGGCTGAATTTTTCTTTTTACTTTGTGAACACGCTTTTTCTGCAAAGCACATAGCCACTTGGTTTTTTTTAATGATAATATTTTTTAAAATATTTTTATTGATGTCATAATAGTTTATAAGATTGTGAAATTTTAGTTGTACATTATTGTTTGTCAGTCACCATATAAATATGTCCCTTCACCCCTTGTGCCCACCCCCCAACTCCCTTCCCCCTGGTAACCCTCAAACTGTTCTCTTTGTCCGTGTGTTAGTTTATATTCCACATATGAGTGAGGTCATACAGTGTTTGTCTTTCTCTGTCTGGCTTATTTCGCTTAACATAATACCCTCCAGGTCCATCCATGTTGTTGCAAATGGGACGATTTTGTCTTTTTTT